AGTTGATACTGTAATTGACATAAAAAAGACCAGAATAACTGCATGCACAAAGATATCCGGCTAAATGGAAAGCGGCGGAGTTCATTGGCTGGACTCGGTTACATAAAGTGAGATCAAATCAGGCAGAGTGGAACCAATGAGTTCTGCTAGCGGTCGGGTGAACGTTCATCAATGAGTATCAGGTATATATTCGTGCGGGGCTGGCAATAGGTGTTCCGTGATAGACTTTGATGCACGAAGCCCAAAGAACAATTCAGTTTGTTCATCCGAAAGACTAGCATAGTACAATTATAGGCAGGGGACACAATAATCGTTTGCAGCACCACATAAAAGTCAACGAGTCTCTTATTTAAACTAATTTTTAGAAAGAAAATATAGTAAGCCGGGCATGAAAATTAACCCTGGTCGGAACAGGATGTTAAGTTTGCACCGAAACCGTGCCGAATGGCAGGCTACTGTTATTAGGGCTTCTCTACGTAGAGAGTTCCGATTTCTTCTATAGACTGACTGTAAGCTGTCGTAATACGCCATCTATATTAGCGGTAACGTAAGCGTGTTATGGATAAGTCTCCTTGATATGGATAGACAGTCATCGTCGATCAGTTAAATTAAAACTCATACATTCACTGGGTTACTGCCAATGCTAATACCAACAACAGTGATGTAGTAAGCTTTTGTGATTGGAGTTTTCGGAGTCCTTGAGCAGGAGTAACAGCAGATGGCAGGCACAGACTATGTGACCGGCTCATAATAATTATTATAACCACCTACTTATTTTCTTAAAGTAGAAGTATTTACAACCATTTCGGCTAATTTCCGTTGGGTAGTCCAAGCCGCTGTCAACTGAGCAATTACCTCCTACACCTGCAATCAGTGAACATTTTAGATGGAATAATCTTGATTCCCTTGACAGCTGGGTAACCCGAGCATAGAAAAACTGATCGTGACGGTTTGTCACGATGCACCATTTCATATTTCGTGTTGAGTAATGTGGACGCGAACAACAGCAAGAAGATAAACATCGGAACTTACCTGACCACCTTTGGATCTGCCCTGGGCATGAACAAACGCACGGAGAAGGAGGTTACATTCTTCAGTGCCATCATCAGAGCAGCGCGAGTCGGTCTGACGCGCAGCTGTTGTGTGGAAATTCGTGTGAGCACCCAGTCCGACTCCTTCATCCAGATTGGATAGTATTCAGCGCCCAGATCGCCGGAACTGACAGAGGTCCGAGGCGGTGGTGTCTAATTTCATTAAACAGAGGGCAGACGGCGGGTTATTGTATGCAAGCCAACTTAATGTCAGTGTAGTAAAATAAAGTTGTCGAGTGCGTACTTTAATCATGTGTCTGAGGAATCAAACGCGGAGGCGCTGGATGCCTGTTGTTCATTCATGTTAATTTTAGGACCTAACAGCCTAGCAAATTGCATGAAATGCCTTGCTTTTCAGGGAGCCTTCTTTTTGGAAAAAAACTGGTGGTGCAAAGGCGGCCACTGATGGAGTTCATGTCTGAAAATAACGCCTCCGAGGGGAGGTGGGGAGTCATTTCACCGGCGGTCAGTGTTCATGCACTCGTGTTTCTTGCAGCCTCCCAAATGAATTTTAGTCAGTAAGGGAATTTAAGTCTCCTATTCCTGATGGTTGGAACAAGGCAATTAAGACGCATGAGTAGGGAATGCTGTCAATTTGAAGGTTGAAGCATAAGCTGCATCCAACCACAGCCTCCAATGCCTTACCTCCTCATGGAATATACAAACGTCCCAAGGAGAAACGGACAAGACGCGAGCCAATCAGAACAGGATGAGGCACATGGCGACAGTCTACTGGCATGAGCGACACGCTATTATCGATTTTTCTGATGCACTGACGTTGTAAGCAGATTTTTTGGCACTTTACTCTTTGTCTGAAGCCGATCTCGGCCGCCAGTCTCGAAAATTCGCGCAATGAACTCTGTTTCCCGGAGGACGTAGTGGGCTGCCGGCACCTCGACCAAGACGCATTGACCCCCAAAAAACCTTAGGGCTGACTAATCCCCATCCTCTTGGCGACACTTGTCCCGCTGACGTCATCTGAACGTCCGAATACAGGAACACTTACCACTGGCTGATATTCGAACTCCAGTTGACCGTTCAGCGCGAGCATCCTTGCGTGGACCTTGTTTGGATCTTCAATTACCGTTCGAATAGCACCGGCTGACGTTGGGGGTTCCACTGGGGACCGTGGCTCCTCGATCGGCGTGACTATACCACACTGACCGGATGGCAGGCAATCAGCGTGCAGTTCTACCAGAATGGATCCGTAACTACGAGTCTGAAATGGTAAAAAGAGTGGCAGGGATTAGCTTTAAGGTATGTGTTACTACTAAATTTCACAAATGTAGTTTAATTGAAATCCATGAATTTACTGGGCCACTGCTGATGCGAATGTTAATAATGGGTAGGCAGTGGGCATTGTACATCCGGAGTCCCCGGGACAACAGTTACACCAGATGCCAAGGACAGAATAGTTGATACGCCTTATGATAACTATTAGACCTAGCGTTTTCAAATTATCAATTTTTTTTCAAGTTCAGTGAACGCCTGAAAAACCGCCTTGTAGCGTAGCTATCGAGCACAAATTTTACCATGGGTTCTCCGGAAGATGTTCACGAAAAGCCGACTGTTCAAAATAAGAGGAAGAATATAAGAATCTGCTATAACATTCATAGAAATCGGCATGTTTTGCTGTCTCCTCGAGTACCAGTCACTAGGCATCGAATTCGGCAGCACTTGCATCCTCGGGTTCTTCAAGGATGCTTATATTCACTAGAAGATCCTAATGTTCGTAGACTAAGCAAATAGTAGTTCCATCACAAGCATGGATCTGGATCATACATCAGCTGACAGACGTTCCTGTTGTCCGTCTGACTTCCCACTATGGGGAGCAATATCTCGTTGTAAGATCATCGTCTTCAGCATTTAAAGGTTTACGAACACATGACCGTTGACCGAAACCTAAAGCCATTAGTCAAATGCCAACCAAGTTTAGCAGTAAAACAGAGAGATCAGGACTGCTTCGGCTTGCGATAATAGTTCGGCGATTGATTTAAACTAAGACCAAATTATCAGGGTGGGCGCAGCGGGAGTGAATGACGCGTGAATTAGGTTCCAAGGAAAGTCGAATTTCGAAGGATCTACCGCACTCACGCCTGCTCCTCTCACCCTGGGCCGGGAGTCCTGTTTACATCAAGAAGTTCGGAAGCTCCTGGCACTTATAATTCACACGATTTTGCCTTAGCCCATTAGGTCTAATTGCAGCACCACCACTTACCAACAGTCCGCTAAGTCCCGGTATCTTCAGGAATGTAGGCAGACTCTTGGAGAACCGCCACTTGAACTGACTCTGACCCTTTGTCAGATCAGGCAGCTCGGCAGATCCGGTGTTTGCCTCAACCGTCTCCAGGAGATCGACTAGTGGTCCACCCGGCAGATACTGATTATCGGTCGAAACGAGCTCTAGACGGTGTTCTGGGCCGGGTACCGATCGATATCCCGTCAGCTGAGTACACTGTGCGGGCTTGTCCGCAGGGAAACAGAAACAGGCGTAACAGCCGAAGGGGTAGTCAGCGTTCAGGCCGAATGAACCCGGACGGCAGCGGTCACATTTTTCGCCCTAAACCGGGAAGAAAGCACAAATTATTTTAGATCGATATAAATACGCCTACTAAAACGAATATAGTAGTTATTTAGGTATAGTGAAACGTACGTAAGCAACATAACCCTCCTCTTACCTCAACATTCGCTTTGCAGACACAGGCGCCCGTTTCCGGATCGCACAGTGCGGTATCCGAATGACTGACTGTGCCAGCAGCATCGCACCGACATGGACGACAATTTGGATATCCGAAGAAGCCGACTTGGCACTGATCACAGGTACGCCCAGCAAAGCCGGTCTTGCAGGTGCATTGACCAGTAATCTTGTCGCAGCCACCGGTTGCTCCATCCACTGATCCCACAGCTGAACAATTACAGTCCTGAAATGGGGTTCAATCAGGAAGGATTAGTTGGAGCTTTTTTAGACACAAGAGGGTGCAAGGTTTGCGTATTGACGGTTTAAAAGTCGCCTATTAATATATAACAGCAGATCGCAACATCGTGCTCGAGCTCATAAAAAAGGATCCTCAGGCCTTTGTCTAGTGGTGCTGCACATGACGTTTCTCCCTTTCTTGGGGCAAATGGTTATGGTTATTGGCGACGCTCATCAGCCTGAACTAAGCATGGACGGTCACGGTCTATATGTGCCAGGAGCTATTAAGGATCTGCGCATAATCTATTCTAACAGTGTAAATTTGCCAGAGCACGGTGCCCTGACGATGTCGAAAGTGCGCCGATCTACCGGATTCATTCTCAGAAATTTTAAGACCATCAAGGTTAGAACCAGCCTTTTAATATGTACGTAAGAATTAGTCTCGAATACCGCTCGTTTCTATTTAGCGCTCTGCGCCTTTGTGAACTGAAGAAAACAGAATCGGTTCAGCCTTTGTTCCCTAAAAGAGTTTTCACTTCAGAAGACGAAGATGCGATCACTGGAACAAGAGTTTTATTTGCCTGA